AACCACTTATCAAATCCTTAAACTGTAGTTAGACATGGTGGTGTACTCCTACAGTCCCAACACTCTGGAGGCTGACCCCAGAGGGTTATCTTGAGTTCAGGTTTAACCAAATGAAAATTTCATTTGGATGTTAGACAATAGACATGAAGCTGGGGACGGTGGTACATGTCTTTAATCCTAGCACTCAAGAGACAGAAGCAGGAAGAGCTTTGGGAGTTCGAGGCCAGCCTGGTCTACATAGCAAGTTCCAGGCCAGTCAGGGTTAGGTAGTGAGACCCTATCTCAATAAAGAAAGACAGAAAACAGGCAGTTTCTTGGGATTCCCGAGTGTCACCCTGGCCCTGTCCTCTCTCCTTGCCTCTTCACATTCATACCGTCTTATGTAAATGCCGCCTTGTGTCCACAGGTGGTCAACGATTGTTTTTGTTTGTTTTTAAGGCAGCCTGGACTTTCTGTTCCTCCCACTGTAATAGTGTTCCCCGAGTGCTGGGGTTACTTACTTTCTCATAACTTACTGACCAAGTGGACTGAAAGAACTAAGTGACCCCTAATTTGAATCTTGCTTCTGTGAGAGGAGCTATTATCTGCGCAGCTTCCGGGTAGACGATATGCAATTTCTTGGGTCTCTCAGTCCTGAGTCCTTTAATCCAGGCCTCCCAAAGTTGCTTCCAGAATGATCTACGGTCTTTCTAAATGGAGCCATGACTTCCTTGCTTTAAAGCATGAATACTCCTCTTTGCCTGTTCAGGTTCCGTGGGCCTAGAAGGTGCACACGAAGTGACTTTGGCTGGTCCTTCAGCTGCACCAGATTTCAACGGTTTACATGAGTGAGAACAATTATGATATTAAAAGATATCGTATAACAGCCAAGATTTGGGTGTTGGATGGAAGATGGGCAACAGGGCCTGCCGGAGCTCTCAGCTATGAGAGAGCTATGCCCGTTGATAAGCTGGGTGGGCTCTTGTGTTTGCTCCCCCTATTCCAGCAAGTTCTACACTCCGTAACAGGTCTGTTATGTAGAAGAATTGATCACAGTGAGGCCTCGCCTGACCTGCCTCTCTCATCCGACCCTGTCCTCACAGGCCTTCTCACAGTGGTTATGCTACGAAATAACGGCTTGCTTGTTAACGGGAGGTCTGCTGTGACTCTTGTTAAATATGGAAGACTTCATTTAAGGGACGACCCTGCTAGGATTTTGTAAAATAGAGATCTGGTTTAAGCCCAAACACAAGGACAAGTGAGTATTTATAGGCAGGGACCTGCATTGAGTGAGGTTGTGTCACTGACTGAAAAATTATTAAGAGGAAGTTCTGGGGGGGCGGGGGGCACGGGATGATTCCGGCTAAACCTACTTGACAAGATTCTTACCGAAGGCAGGCCCGTGGGAGAGAATGAGGGTGGAGATTTTCACCCAACAGAACCTGCAGGATTCCAGATAAAACTAGATTCTAGGAGAACAAAGATAGCTCAGGGTGGAGGCATGCTGAGGCTTAGGGGACCTGACAAGAATTCGGGCCAGCGGAGTCTTAGGCGGTCAGAATTTGTTTACTCGTTTTATTTGTAGATTTATTTATGTGTATGTGTGCTTTGCCTGCACGTTATGTATGTATACCACTTGTGCGTGCCTGGTGCCCCTGAAAGCCAGAAGAGGGTGTCAAGTACCTAGAACTAGAGTTAAAGATGGTTGTAAGTAGTCTTGTGGGTGGTGGGAACTGAACCTGGGTCCTGTGCAACAGCAGTTAGTGCTTTCAACCACTGAGCCATCTCTCAGCCCCTGCTGGGTTTCTTTAACTTTTACTGAAGATACCCATTTTGCAGACCCCTCTGTAGCATTGGTTGCTACATCATGCTTGACCTGGCCATCATTTGTAGCATGCTTTGAAGGAGTTATTTTTATTAGTGGGAAGTGAACCCAGAGCCCCATGCATGCTAAGCACTCTGCTATACCACAGAGCTACATCTCCAGCCCCAGGGAATTGTATTTTAGATTTTCCTGTTATATTGTTCCATTGCTTCTGGGAAGGGCAAGAAGCCGTGGAAAAGAATAAAAGGCCCTTTCTCAGCTTAAGGTCAGTTCCAACACAAGTAGGTTTCTTGGCTGCTCGGTTTTGCATTTGCAGACATTCTGTTCGGTAAGGCCGAGATTGGCAGCTAGGCCATGGTCCGCCTGTTCCAGAATTATAGGGAAACGGACACGTCAGACTGACTCAGCTTCCGTGAAGGCTATAGAGCGAGTTACTTGTTGCTCTTGACTCTGAGTCCTAGACGAGAACAAGATGGGAGTTTGGGAAACTAAGGCGTCTGCTTCTGTCATCTCAAGCTGCTGCTGTACAGAGCTGCCCTTGCTGGGCGGTGGTGGCGCACGCCTTTAATCCCAGCACTCGGGAGGCAGAGCCAGGCGGATCTCTGTGAGTTCGAGGCCAGCCTGGTCTACAGAGAGAGATCCAGGACAGGCTCCAAAACTACACAGAGAAACCCTGTCTCAAAAAAAAAAAAAAAAAAAAAAAAATGAAACAAAACATGTAGCTTCCCTGGGAGCTTCGTCAAACTTGGAAAGACAAATGGAAACTAGTATGTTTGTTTATATAATTTATTGAACATCGATTGAGTGTGCGCTCTTGTTCTTAGGTTCTAGAGAGACAAAAATATATCATAAGACATGGTCTCTGGCCTTTGGAATTTTATGGTACAAAAGTAGAATGAGTACACATAAATAAACGCGTTGCATATGCTGTGCTAAGTGTAGGGTGACCTTGCGTCCTGAGACAGGCGTGGCTTATGCTTGCTGTCCCTAGGTCACTACTAAGAACGCTCCTTTTCACTCTTTCAACTAAGGGCCACAGTCACGATCGCCACGAATGTTCAGATGTAAGACGGACACACAGCATAGAGTTGCTTTCCCACAGGAGGCCATTGAGCTGGGTGATGAGAGAGAAGTTTGGCTAGCCAAGGCTAGGGATCTTGCGGGGGGGTGGGGGGACTTGGGGTTCAGGTGGGAGAAGAGGTGTATTTCAGGAACGTAGAAAGCTCCGCAGGCCAAAAGAAACTGTTCTAGAAGTAAGTTTAGATATTGTTTGCCGATATCTTAAGCTAGATATTGGCTTAAGTTAGCTATTGTTTGCCAAGTTTACCCTTTGACAATTCCTCAAGGACATTATAATACACATACAACTGTCTAGACACCACTGCACCCTCACCCCCTCACCCCTTCCTCCTGGCTAGGAATGGATTTCAGGTCCCTGTGCATGCTAGACAAGCTGCTCCCTCTGAGCTACATCCCAGCGTCAATTTGTGTTTTTACAGTCTCCTAGGTGTTCTTGGGCATATAAAGGTTAGATCTAGGTCCCCACCGAGGGGCCTAGGGAAGCAGGATCAGCTAGGCAGAGGAAAGCCAGTTAGAGACTGACATTCTAAGGGGTTAGGGAGTGCACAGGAACTATGTAAGTCATACCAAGGATGGAGAGAAGGGAAAAAGATTCTGGCACTATTGAGGAAGAATGATCAAGACCCGGGTACAGCCTTACATTATTTTCAGGCCACAGGATACTTGTATCAAATGGAGGAACCTAAGGGATTTCTAATCTGAAGATTTACTTGGTGACCAACAGTTGGATAGCATTGGCATAGTTCTTGTAGACCTAAAACAAAATAACTTCTGCATACCTTTTTTTTCCCAAGTCTTACGACACTCTTAACAGTCTTGTTTATCTCTGGCAAGAAGCAGCAATGGATTCCAAAGCATCCTCCTGCCTTTTCATTATGGCAGGATACCTGCCAAGCCTTATCTCCCGTGTTTGCTTTGTTACCCAGTATGTAAGACCTTTGTGATTCATCAGCCGTCTACACAGTGCCAACTCCTCTCAGGGGAGATCCTCTGTGTCCTGCAAGTTTCGGCGTGACCTTGGCCTGGATTTTGGAGGCACACTCTCTGTGGGAATTGCGGCCACATCTCAGATTCTCAGAGACTGAGAAACGACAGCAGCACAAGAAACGCATTATTGACGCACCAAGTGTCTCAAGAATTGGAGACAGCGGGTTCACTAGGAGAGAAGGCCTGGGGCAGTCCCTTCGCTGAATCCTTCAAAGATGAAGGGAAAAAAACAAAACTCTTCTCTCCGCCTCCAAAGATACAACGATTTTATCCTACAGGCTGCGGTCACCAGGCCTGCTGGCTTTGGCAAATGACACCAGTAACCAAAGCCCTAGAAATTATCTGAAAAAAAGCCTTCAAGTTATGAAAAGAAAGGACAACGGGAAACCGCTCAGGCTGTCTTGTCAGGGGGCAATTTTGTAGCCTCTGTCCTAGGTCTGGCCACTCCAGAGCCCCAGTGAGTGTGGTTTGGTCCAGGCAAGGCATCTTCAGTTCTTGTCTTGGCTGGGGGAACCTTCCAAATGCTGGGAGTAATGGGGATGGAGATGACTAGTGTCAGGGAGAAGGTACAACAGTCTACCTAGGTTCCCAGTTTTATTTCGGGGGGAGGGGGTTTGTTTGTTTGTTTGTTTGTTTGTTTTTCAAATAAAGGGCTTAACTTCTGTGCGGTCCAGCGTCCGCCAACGCCATAAAGTCCTAACGGCAGGAAGAGCCGATGAAAGGGGAAGAGGAAAGGCGCAGCGGCGCGCACACGCGCTCGGAAACGGACGTCGGCGCCGCGCCGCGAGCCGCCAGGCGCGGGTCCCCGCGGGGAGGGCGAGCGCGGTCCGGTCGCCCCTGCCCGAACCAGGCCGGGCGCGACCAGCGCGGCGACGCGGGGGTGGGGGTGGTGGGGGGTGGGGGTGGTGGGGGTGGCGGCAGCGCGCTTCCGATCGGCAGCGGTCGCCCCCGCGCGCCGATCCAGTAGTTCGGTCCGAGGGGGCGGCTCCAGGGGCGCGGCTCCGCGGCGGCCGGGGCTGCTGGAGGCGGGAGCGGACCCCGGAGCCAAGCGGCGCCGAGAGAGAGGGGGAGAGAGGGGGATAGAGGGAGGGAAAGGAGAGGCGGGTGGGCGGGGGCGAGCGGGCGGCGCGGCGCGGCGCGGGGGCGAGCGGCGCTGCGGGCCGTGGGAGGAAGCGCTGCGCCCGGCCCGACGGCGCTCGTTGGAGCCACATCCGCCGGTCGCCGGCGACGCTGCCGGCGCCTGTCACCGGCCCCTCCATCTTGAAGGGAAGGAGGCCGCCGTTTGCCACCGCAGGGGCGGGCAGCCGCGCCGCGCTCATGGCGTTCAGTCCCTGGCAGATCCTGTCGCCCGTGCAGTGGGCCAAGTGGACGTGGTCCGCGGTCCGCGGCGCGGGCGCCGGGGAGGAAGAAGCCGGAGGTCCCGAGGGCGACCCCCCCGAGGAGGAGGAGGACTCGCAAGCCGAGACCAAATCCCTGAGTTTCAGGCAAGTACGCCGCATCGCAGCCGGGATGCCGGCGCGCGCCGTCCTCCCCCCCCCCCCCCCCCCCCGACCCCGCGGGTCCTGCTGCTGTGTGCGCGCCACCGTGTGTGTGTGTCCCCGGGTCCCCGCGGCGGCGTCTTGCACCACCACCCCCCCCCGCAGCCGCCGGGTCCCCCGCTGTGCCACCCGGAAAGTTCGGGCGTGTTGTGTCTGCCCAGTGTGCTTTCCGTCCCCTGTCTTGGCTTGTGAGCTTTCTGAACCCAGCCCCGCATCCGCAGTCTCCGCGCCCCGGTGTGCCGGGGTCGCTTTCTGTAAGCGTCGACACCCCGGCCGGCTCCCGACACTGTCACCCCAGGTAGTGTCAGTGGATGAGGCCAGGTGGGGTTTGTAGCTCCCCCCCCCCCCACGATGGGCAGGAAATCGCTCCCCCGCCCTGCTCGGCCCCGCAGTGTCTGTCCTAAAATGCAGCCGTGGTAAAAAGAGGAATCGCGTGATGACAGGCCCCTGGCAGCTGGTGAGAAATGGTGGTCTCTGCTGAGCTGTCACACGTGTGATTGTGGAAGGCAGGTGACGGCCTTTGCAGCCTCGAGTGACTTTCAGCCAGGTAGAGGCCTACCAAGGAGCAGGGCATGAAAGAATTGGCTTAGTTTGGCGGTATTAATTTTTTAAGCCTCTGGAAAAGGGGTCTATTAAGAGGAAAAGAGTTGATTGGAAAACCTGCCCCCCCCACCCCCCTTTCGGGTGTGAAAAGGCAAAGATGACCTCAAAAATAAGTGAGAAGCTCCAGAGGACGGAAGAGATTTCGGGGAGCGAGGATGCTGGGCATCCGCTGAAAAACTGCTGCGGCCTCTCTCAGCCGGGTTGAGGATTGATTGGTTGGTTGCAAAGTTAGATGGAGGTGCTGGACCCGCACCTTTGTGAATAAGTGCATTTTTAAAGGCAGTTGGAAATACCGTTGACTGTGGTAATGCCTCATTTTTCCCCCTTGGCAGCTCGGATTCTGAAGGTAATTTTGAGACTCCTGAAGCTGAAACTCCAATCAAATCGCCTCTCAAGGAGTCTTTTGATTCACCACTAGGATTGACAGAACCTGAGGCCAAAACCCAAGGTAATACAACTTTAATTTTCTACCTCTTTGGTTTTAACTTAAAAAAAAAAGAAAGTGGCAGGGGGCATAAAAAGGGGTGTGTGTACCTCGAGCACCACTTCAGAGAAGTTAGATTGTCTCTTTGCTGATTGGAAGGCCCTTTGCCTTTTGTTTTGTGAAATAAATGCTTTGGTCATTTGATGATCCAAAGCTTTCTTCATTCTCTGAAGAGAGATTGTGAATTTGGAGTATGAGATTATTGGTATTCTCAACCAGTTAGAAATTCCTTCGCAACCCCGAATAAGTAAAAACTGAATGCAGCGGTAACAGGTCGGGTTATGTTTAGGTCTGGCTTCACAGATCCCACAGTCTAGATGTTTTTCCTACAAGGGTGTGGCTAGACACAAAATTATAGGTAAGAGTTGATTGTTGAGTTAGGAATCTTAAGCAGTTTCAAAATTCCTTGCCTTTCCTTTCCACCAAGGACCGGTGGGGAGCCCTTCAGTCTAACCAAGAAAATCTGGTACACATAACTCTTTTCTGTCCCCCCAGAGCCCAACCTCAGACATGGCCTTTAATTGTAGATGCTTCTGGCCCGCTAAATTAATGGCAATCCTTTTTGTCGATTTTTTTTTTTTTTTTTTTTTTTTTTTTGGATAGCTCAGGCTGGCCTTGAAACTCACTGTGTAGTTGAATATAACCCTGGACTGGTCCTGCTGTCTTTAACTGCTGGAATGATAGGCCCGCACCACCCTGCTTGGTTTATTGTTGGCATAGTTTTGAGTAAAATTTCATTTGTTCTAATAGGAATTAATTTGTTCCTTCAGTAAATAGAGGCACTGTGATACAGAAGTTGAATTCCTGATCTCACTAAGCAACATTTTGGAGGGAGGTGGACCTTTTTTTTTTTTTTTTTTTAAATTTTCCGGAACTGACCAAACCCAGGGCCTTGTGCTTGTTAGGCAAGCGCTCTACCACTGAGCTAAATCCCCAACCCCGGGAGGTGAACCTTTTAAGGGTCAAAAGCAAGATATCTGTCTGTTGGGGTGTGTTAAGTTCTGTGGAGAGCAGGGGTGGGTGGGTAGGGGGCATGGCCTATGGGCCTGGTCAGTAAATGCAAGACGTTAGTTTAGGGGAAATTGGTGGAGAAGGCAACTTGAACAGACTCCTAAAAGGGGAGAATTGAGGGAAGAAAACTTGTATATTTTTTTGGGAGAAGAACCCTTTCTGCAGTGGGAACAGGACTTGCAAAGGAGGAGCCCATAAGCAGTGAGGCCCCAGGGGGTGGAGAATCATGCGTTCTGAAGGAGCAGGCACAGAGGCCAGTGTTGCCCAAGTGGAATGACTAGTAATAGGAGCTGAAGTCAGCAAGGTGAGAGGCAGGCCAAGCAATGTTAATGATGATTAGGTTTTCTGAGTGAGATAGAAAACGGCTTGTAGGTCATCTGAACAAAATACCATAAGCCGAGTGCCTCAAAACAAGTTTATTCTCATAGTTCCTGGGAACTGATCAAAATGGGACTCTGAGAAAAATCTCCCTTCTTGTCTATTCTAACTTCCTGCTGCTTGTCAACGGTCCTTGGGGTTGGGCTTGCGGCAACCTAATTCCTTTTGGCCTTATCACATGGTGGGTTTCCATGTAAGTCTGTCTTCACGTGGCCGTGCCATGAGGACTCCAGTCATTCAATATAATACTCTCTTTAATCTAGTATGACCTCATTTTAACCTCACTGCACCTCCAAAGGTGCTATTTCCAAATAAGGGCACATTTCTGGTAGATTATGTCTTTAAACATATCTTCTTGGGGACACAATTCAACTCATTGTGACAAGGCTTTGATTTCTTTTTTGTGAGACAGGGCCTCAGCTATGTAGCCATGGCTAGCCTGGAACTTGCTGTGTAGACCAAGCTGGCTTTGAACTTAACAGAGATCCATTTACCTCTGCATCCCCGGTCCTGGGATTAAAGTTGTCAGCCACCGCTTCAGGCGTATCATCCATCCTCCCCTATCCGCCCCAGCTGAGGACCGAACCCAGGGCCTTGTGCTTGCTAGGCAAGCGCTCTACCACTGAGCTAAATCCCCAACCCCCATATTTCTTCATTTAAAAAAATTTGTTTTTTGCATTTATTATTTGGTGGTGGTAGGGGCGTGTGCCGCTGTGGTGTGTGGAGGACAACTCAGGAATTGGCTCTGTTCTTCCACCATGTGGTTGTTGGTTGTAGGGACTGAACTCAGGTCTCTGGTCAGGCGGAGCAGTAAACACCCCCGGAGCCATCTTGCTGACCCAAGATGTCGTTTATGAGATAAATAAAAGAGTCTCCCCGCGTAGCCCAGGCTGGCCTTGAACTCAGTGCCCCAGCCTCTCAAGTGCTGGGCCTGACTTCCTTTTGGCAAGGCCTTTTGGCTGCTTTATGGAGGAGGGGCCCTGGGATGGATGTCCTTTGTAGGTGGCTTCCCCACCCCACTGTCTTTACCACCTGATCACCATACAGTGGGGGTTCGATGGAACAACTTTCAATACCCTATCTTGGAGTTGATCATGACTTCTTGGGCTCACGGTGATGTAGCTTAGTGCTTACTTCCTAGGTTGCCTGGGGAAGTCGAGTCACAGGACTTTGTAGAGGAGGTAGAGTTACTGGTGTATCGTCACCTCTTTTTTGCAGTTTGTTTTTTGACTAGAAATTGTGATCTCCATGCTGTGTGTACCCTGCTGAGTCTCAAACAGCACCTTGAGCTGGCTCTGGGCTGGTTCTGCTCCCGGGTCAGGACTGCTCGTTCCCACGGACTGATACGTGCAGAGGGGCGTGCACAGTACTTTCTGTAAAGAAGATCCTGCTGGCCTCCATAGCTTCCTTTCTCCTCTCAAAATTCTCGCAGGCAGATTGGGAGGGAGGACTGGATGCCTGAAAGAGCTGTTTTGTGGGCCTTCTCGTCACATTTAAATAAAGCCCACAGGCCGTATGTTAAGTAGCTGTTTGAAAGCCTCTTGGAATTGTCCTGGGCTTGGACAGCCTTTCCTCAAGGGTCTACCAGTCTGCTGTTCTGAATAATCTGCCGGGTTCTTTGGTAAATGAATAGAGGCTGGGATTGGCCCCGCCCCTCTATACCCCCCAGCCACAGACACTCAGTTGTTTGGGCCTTCCTGTTCCAGCGGCTCTCACACTCTTTCATTCTGTGCAAATGTTTTCTTCTTAGAGAGTCTCGGATCAGCAAAGTTCTCCGGGGTGGTTCATGGCTTCGGAGTGTGACTGTAGGGGGCGGAGAGTGGTGGTGTGTAGTCTGGGATCCTACCCTGCCTGTTATAAAATCCCCCGGTTTAAGGTCTTTACACAGTGGGGCGACCCCTCAGACTGGTTAGTGTCTGGCCTCTTAAGGACCTCATGGAGTCAGTCACTGGATTGTGACGTGGAGTCAGTGTGGATTGCCTTGGCACACGTACAAAATCGTCCCGAGAATACAATAGGAAGCATAGGTCTCGCTGAAGATGGTTTCACTGAGCAAAAGTTCTTTTTTTTTTTTTAAATGATTTTTAAAATTTTATGTGTGTTGGTGTTTTGCCTGCGTGTATGTCTATGTGAGGGTATTGGATCCCTTGGAACTGGAGTTACAGACAGCTGTGAGCTGCCATGTGGGTGCTGGGAATTGATCCTGGGTCCTCTGGAAGAGCAGTCAGTGCTCTTAACCGCCGGGCCATCTCTCCATCCCCAAATAATTTTTGTTTGTTTGTTTTTGTTTTTCGAGACATGGTCTCTTTGTGTAGCCCTGGCTGTCCTGGAACTTGCTCTGTAGACCAGGCTGGCCTTGAACTCAGAGACCCGCCTGCCTCTGCCTGAGCAAAACTTCTTAAGTCAGTTCATGGTGAAGTTTTAATTTCTTGGACTGGATGTTTCACTTTCATCTAAAATAGTTAGTTTTATTTGAATTTCTGTGGCTCCAAGACTTGGTTGGACAGCTCATACAAACTGGTGGGGGTAGGGGTGGGCTGTCTTCTCAGGACTTGTCATGAGCCAGGCTTCCTGGTGTCCTGTCAGTCTCACGTGTGTAGGCTAGTGCCATACGCCTGCTCCATCACCTGCCTCCTGGTTCTTTACATTCAGAGAGAAATACAGTTTTTCTTTTTATTGGAAACTGTTTTAAGAACGTATACAAATTTTGTATTGAGTCCTCTTAAGACAGTTTTATGCTAGCAATTAAATAGTAGGTCAGGTTGTGTTTTTTAAGACAGAAAAAAAAGTTGGCTTCTGAATATGTAATAAACTCAAACTAACCGAAAGTATTTCTTGGAAATACCACACTGGCGGCCATGAAGTTTCCACTGGTCGTTCTGTTTGCAGTTTGCTGTTCCCAACAAAAGGTGCTCGGGCGAGTTCGCTTGCTTTGTTTGGAAACAGGGTCTTACTAGATTAGCCTGAACTCCATATGCTTGGCCTCAAACTTAGAGATCCTTATGCTTCTGCCTAAATGTGTAAAGGTGCTCGGGCCGAGTTCGCTTGCTTTGTTCGGAAACAGGGTCTTACTAGATTAGCCTGAACTCCATATGCTTGGCCTCAAACTTAGAGATCCTTATGCTTCTGCCTAAATGTGTGTGCCACCATACCCAGCCATTTTAGCTGCTTAAAAAAATTATTATTATCATGGTTGTGGGGAGAGGCACACATGCCAGAGTGAGAGAGAGGGGTGTGTGTGTGTTTGTGTGTGTGTGTGTAGAGGACCCTACGTGGGTTCTAGGGATTGAATTGAACTTAGATCCCCAGACTCATGGCTGAGCATCTCACTAGCCAGTGAGCTACTTTAGTTCTTTATTTTTATTGCTGGTGTTGATGTAAGAAATGCTTTTTTTTTTTTTGGTTTTTTTGAGACAGGGTATCCTCTGTGTAGCCCTGGCTGATCTGGAATTCACTCTGTTGGCTATGCTAGCCTTGAGGTCACAGAGATCCTCCTGCCTCTGCCTCCCAAGGGCTGGGTTTAATGGCATGCACCACCACCGCCCCAGTGAGAAATGCAAAATTATTCATTGACA